CACACACAATGAGTACTCAATCACTGACACACACAATGAGTACTCAATCACTGACACACACAATGAGTACTCAATCACTGACACACACATACTGATCACTCTCCCACATGAACTGTCTTTTTTCACACAAATCTTCAGCATACACGTACAGGCACTTGCAGATCAGCAGTAGTTCATGGGCTTCCAGAGAGTCAGCTGTCAGCTTAAGCACACTCACTGCCTGTTCATGCACACAGGAGCAGCTTCTATGCATTTAAAACAAACTTCACTGTCAACATCCAGAGCAAAACATGAACACCTAGAAAGACACTGTCTCTGATAACTGCATTTAAAGCAAGGACACTCAGAAAGACACTGTCTGTTAACCGCATTTAAAACATGAACCCCCAGAATGACATTGTCTCTGTTAACTGGCAGAAAAACACATCCTCAATAAGCAAAGTGGTCACTGTGATTCATGACAGTATAGAGGCCCTCTAGATAACCTCATCTATGCAAGACCACTGCGCTGGGGCACAAGTGTGACACTAGACTGCCAGGGCACCAATATCTAGTTCATTGCGTATTCATACTCATGTTCATCTCACTTTTGTTTGGGTGTCAGAATTTTTCTCGTTTTCACTTACGCTGAAGTGATACTCACATATCTCACAGTGATTCCACAACAGTAATAAGAAACAAAAACTTTCTCTGATCACAGACAGGCCTTATGACACTCTCTCGCGTTGCACCTTCCCTGCTGCTGCAGTACAGGGACTCAACCCTAAAGCCTCATCCCTAAACCTGCCTCTGGAAGGATCTGAACTACAAGATTTCATTGTTAATCCCAATTCTGGGACAATAATAAAATCAGCACTGACACCTCAGAATTAATAAAACACTGACACCAAAGATTTAGAGAGCTCAAGCAGTTCATAAATCTCCACATGACTATGGGCCTGCTGCCACCCTAAGCCCTGAAGATGTGTGGTTTGAACTTTCAGGGACACCGTAGCTGGTCCGGGCACATGCAGCACTGCGTGGGCCGGGCTTTGGAGAGCTCCACCTGACACACCTGAGTCATCGTTCCTGCATCCTGCTGACTTGGATCATCTGCTCCTGTGAGTGTTCTGAGCTGAAAAAGGAACAAGTACTCCAAGTGGAAAAAGGAATGGCCACTGAGTGGCTAGAGAACCACACGCTGAGACTCTAAAGAACCAGGGGATGAGTGTCCAAAGAAATGGGCGATGAGCGACCAAAGAACCGAGCAATGAGTGACCAAAGATCCGGGCAGTGAGTGACCAAAGAACCGGGGGATGAGCGACCAAAGAACTAGGCGATGAATGCCTAAAGAAATGGGCGATGAGCGACCAAAGAACTGGGCAAAGAGTGACAAATGAACCGGGCGATGAGCGT